AGTAGCAGTGGCAGTGGTCGTGGTCGTGGTCGTGGTCGTGGTCGTGGTCGTCGTCGTCGTAGTAGTAGTAGTAGTAATAACTACTTAGTAGCAGTAACCTAAAGCTGCCGCTGGTGGTGCTGTTGCTGTTGACGCGCGTGATACAACCACGACAGAGGAAGAACAAATGCCACAGGACTGTCAGTAACAAGTACTGCTGACCTCGCCTTTTCAAGATCTCCTGTCCCCAGACGTAATCTGCAAATGTTTGTCCCGCTCCCTAGCTTGATTGCCAGGAACCCTGGGGGCTGCGAAATCCGAATCTCATCCTGTCGATCATGGGCGGCGCTGGGAACATGGTTCTGCCACCGAGCCTTGGCTTTTGCAGACCAGTGCGTCTAAAGGTTCAGAGTTGCGGGTTTTGAGTCGATTTGAAGGCTCTTGTCCCGAATCTAGACTTTGGGAGCTGTGCTAAGTCAAAGCGAAGGATTTACATGTATTCCTGCCTTTTAATCAAGTCTGAGGGTTGTCAACATTCATGTTTGATGAAGAGCCTTTTTGCAGCTCTGAGTTTTTCAATTTAAGATTTACCCGCCGCTCAGAAACAACCTGATGCTTAAAGCAGTTGTGAGTCAATTCGAGATCGACACGACCTGAAAGGCTTAAGCATCCCCAAGAACAATCAGGAACCAGTTTGACATCGACGGCTTTTCAAAAGGGTTGGTGGAAGCGGCAACGCGAACCTCCGCCTGGGTGATCACAGGCCGTAACTTCCACGATTTCGGAGGTCTTGAGATGTTCGGTTTTACACAGTCTCGGGTTTTGGCTAGGGTATCAGGGTTCGGCAATCGTGGTGACCATTCCATGCCACATTGGTTCAAGTGTAGCCACAGCTTCCATGATAGTCTAGATGCGACGCAAGTCACTCCGAGAAATCCATCTGTCCGTCCGTTCATCCATGCATACGTACATGAAAACAAACAAGTATAGAGATATGCTCGCCCCCCCATGATCCACCATCGGTGGGTCTGGGGAGTGGGGGAACTCGCATAGTGCAACTGGAACTGCTTCAATCCCGAAGTCTCCTGCTGCGTTGTTGTACTGTACGATATGTGATGTCGTGTTTTCTATTGTGTTTTCATGTATACGAAGGTCCTTAAACGTTATGCCCTTGGACTGAAAGTTCATATTATCTTGCTTCGGAGCTTGAGGTTTATGATCAGGGTTTAACCGATGTAAACGGGCCTGAATGATTAGAATAGGTCTTTAACAGCATAGTTATAGAAGGACGATTAAGGGATGTTGCTGCCTGTGATTCAAGCTTCTACATCGAGTTGCTGTTTAGTTAATGTACACGCCTATTCCTCACTGTATGTAACTGCTGTAAAGAGTACCCCGAAACCCAGCATGTTGGGCTTCGACATGATTTCAGACCTTTGAGGCTTTCTGACTGTTCATGATATATATATATATATATGCGATATACTCTGATATGTGTAGTGAAAATCCAGCAACGCTAATCAAATATACTTAAATTCATGGGATAAGACTGTTGCAACATCAGGCAATATTGNNAAATTTGGTTTGAACCTTATATGAATGGTATCCATCGTGTGTATGTGTTATATATGTATCATTTAACTGATGTTGGGGGTGTTGCCTTGATAGTTTGTTTAATGCTTCAACGACACCTGGTTAGTATGCTCGCACCTTTTATTTGAATAGTGGCTTGGTGCTTAGCTAGCATTCAAGGAGGGTTACATATGAAGTTGCTACGTAGAGAGCATTATCTAGTGAGCATTTAGCTAGAGATGCGTCTAACTCCAACCCAATGTTTTACGAGTGCTGACCTACGGAGCAATATCTGGTATATACTGTTAGTACTTTAAATGTCAAATATTGCCTGAAAGATTCGACTGTTAGTTTTTCATGCCCCCACCTTCGAGCTGAAGTTCGCGTCCTTGGTGTGAGCCTGTGAGGAGCGCCCGAACGCTCCGTGTATGAAATTTATGTTCAAAGCCTCAGGATTGAAACATAGGTTTATACAAACACAGCGAATAGCTGAGAGTCTCGCATATCCAAGAATTCAACGATTTTTACAGAATCTTTAGATGCTCAATTGTGTGTTGACCTTTTGGATTTCCATTGTCGTTTTTTGATTTTTGTGCAGAACCCAAAAAACCCTCGGAGATGCTTGGATTTTGCTGGTGTCGCTGGTCAAAAACCATTGTATTCCCTAGATGCTTTTGATTTTCTTCCAATAAAAACCTAGGGAATACAATGATTTCGACCGGCGACACCAACAAAATTCAAGTTTTCCTAGGTAATTTTTGGATGTCGCTACAAAATCCAACGAAACCCAGAGAATGTAGTGATTTTGACCAGCGACACCAGCAAAACCCACACATTTCCTAGGTGTTTTTTGGAGTCTTGTGTTCGTACCAGCAGCGCTTTAAGACCCTCAACATGGATATGCGGCTAGATGGTTGAGGCTTGAGAAATATGTTGCGTGTACATGTCAAAGTTCGAGATGCTGCGATACATGAGTGAGCAGTTTTCAACTAAGTTTCTCTAGTATTTCCAGCTGCAGTACGGCACTCCTGATGTAAGGTATCCTGCAGTATGCGACTATGCAAGGCTTTCGAAGTCTGGATTCACAATACCCCTAGACTCTATAGGGTATGAGCAAGGATAACTTTTGGTTCTAGGGTGATGGCTTGGACCTTTGTTCAGGTAGATCTTTCGGATCTTGAAGTTGCGGACTCACACACACACAATTGTACATTCAAGTCAACACGCACATTGAAAGTGGAACAGTTCAAGCATCCACAACCATCCGAAGGCCAGCCTATGCAACACACGTCTGCAGCTGGCCGCCTAACACTCCTCGCAGAGGGCCTGATGTATAGGATGCAGTGCGATGCCGCACAAGTCTACGCACAAGCTAGAGTTAACGAAGTAATCGGGGGTGTGACAGAGAGAGAGAGAGAGAGAGAGTGGAGGAAGAACAAATTGCACATGCACTTGTACGTATGTTTAGTATTTTGACAGACATGCAACGCAAGTACATAGAATCAGCTTCAACTTACGCAAGCTCATAAGCCTGACAATGAGGGATCCTCTCCATTCCCCGCAGGTGGGACTGCCAGCGGTGTAATGGAGATCGTTGGCAAGGCTATGCGGAAGCACGACAAGGAACGCAAAGTACCATGCCTGGGCATCACCCCCTACGGCGCTCTGACACGAGGTTGGCGCGACCTGATTTGCTCAGAGGCTGCTTTCGAGGAAAGCTGCCCGGCAAACCCCAAGAAGCTCGGCATGGCTACGTTTGCAAGTTGGGCCTTTGCAGTTCTATTTGGGTGTTCCGGTTGTGTAGAAAGCAGGCAGTCGCCCTGCAAAGCCGAGGAAGATAGATGCGGCAGAGGCGAAGCCAGAAGGGACAGCAGTCGACGATAGGCCGCTGGCAGCCCTTCAAGAAAACCATTCGCACTTCATCATCTGCGACAATGGTAAGGTTGGCAGCCAGACGTTTGGGACGGAGATTCCGTTCCGGACGCGTTTCGAGGATCATGTTGCCAAGGGCGACTTCAATGACGTCGAGGGGAGCTTGCAGGTTCGCGTGCCGCGCGTGATGATCCTTCTGAATGGTGGCAAGATCTCCCTGGAATCGCTGGTCCAGGCTGCCTTAGTGGTTTCCAACGCATTGCTGCTTTGAGCTCGTTGTCCTTTGTCGTGTCCGATGTGCAGCTCGGTTTTTTGCTGTTGTCCCACTGCGATCAGTTATAGTTCAGCAACACAGTTCCATGTAGGATGACCAGATCGCGTTCAGGCTATTCAAACTGGCTGTCCGTTGGTGGTGTGCCGTGGAACTGGACGCCTCGCCGATGTCATTTGCCGTGTCTTGGAAGAGCCCTGCAGCCTCTTGGCTTTCTGCTTGGCCTTCCTTGTGTGCGGTTCCTATTGTCGCGTGAAAGTAACCGGCTGGCAGCGTTCAGGGCTTTAGCTGCCTGGGTTTGCATTAACCAGGTGTGAATGACGAAGACGAGAACTGCTTCCGAAGTCACCTCCAAGAAACCTTGAAACTCGGCTCTGCTTATGGGATCCAGATAAAGCTGAGTAGGCTTATGACTTGTGCGCAGGGTCGACAAATAGAAGTAGTAGTGAGGTATGGTACCGTAAGCTGATCGCCACGAAACTAGCCGCTTAGTCGACGGCAGTTCCAATGACGCCGCCGGCACCAACGTTCATTTGTGGTCTATCTGTCATTCAATTGGCATTCGGCTCAGGAGGTCGTGCTTCAGGTGTGGATGTTTGAGGTTCCGCGAACAGACGCAGGCATGAGGCCGTCAAGGAGTTCATGCCGCAGGACACCTTGACGACACAAGACATCGAGCATTTCGCCACTTGGGTCAATCTTGTTTGCAGTCCTTGGGGTGTTTAGGGCGGTCATATATGATTTAATATATGATGTCCCAGCCTAGACAGGTTCTTGTCGACACCCCCATTGGCCCGTACAGCTTTTTGCTGCATGCCCCCCCTCACCCGTTCAACAAAGGACACACGCACACACACACACACACATGCGCACACACACACACAGATATACACAGATATATATATATATATACACATACGTACATACACCTACATACATGTGTGTATATATATACACATAACACACACATATGTTGGCCCCCGTTTTTGGTCACGAAAGTGCTGCGTCTTGAGGGTGGGCATTTGCGTCCTGAAATTTTTCAGCTCAGGTTGACGAGCTTCAACAGACTGGTTTCGTTATGTCCCGTTTCGTTGCCGGTTGAATTTGTTTCTGGGCGTGGAGCTTTGGCTGGTCACTGCACAAGCATAGTACAGGAGACTGAGCTCTCGGAGCCGTCATCCTTTATTACCATACCACTAATTCAGTACACTGTAGCCACGGCCTCAATCGTCTACTTTGTCAGACCCCTACAATTTCACTTTGGATGTCACGGATGTAGTCCTTGAGGAAGCCATCGTGCAGAGTGACATGGTGGTGATCTACTCTATCAACGATCGCTTCGAAGAAGCCGTTTGTCTCGCAAAGCAAGCTCACGCTTCATTGATGGTCTTACGGCCATTAAATCCCTGAGCGCCTGAAAAGCCGCAGTTCGGTGGAACCGCCCAACCTTAGACCGGTCAATGCTTGCTCTGCCATCTGTGGAAACCCTCGAAGGAGGACCAATGGAATCGCACAGGGGTTTTGGTCGGCGCGCATTTCATCCCATCATGAAATTCTAACTGTTCCAACTAAACCTCCGAAGCACCGGCTGACGTGTGCAATCTCCTGCGCCTGCAGATCCTAAAGCCCACCTGTAGACCTTCGAAGTGCTTCACGCAACTTCAAGACTGAAGCTTGAACGTAAATTTATAGATACTGTCAGAAGTCTTGGGTTTCACAACTCGCGGTTCTGGGTTGAAGGCATCTTAGGCTTCAGTTTCTTGCGATTTATCCCCCTCCGAAGTGCTTCAGATGTACTTGCCGGTGCTGCTAGGTTACTGTTGGGTTAGCAATCAACTATAAGTGTGAGGGTTTTAGGACAGGTTCATTCCGCCATCCAGCCCTCGACAGTTCAAGGCCGAAGCCTTCAAACACAATGCATTGACAGCCTAAGCATGCCAGCCCTGATTCCTAGCGAGAAGCCTCGCCCTTGAGCTCTACACCCTGAGAATCCCTGCGAAAGCCCTGTGAAGCAAAGCACCAGGTGGTTCTGCAGGCGGTCCTGGGCCACGCCGGCTCTGCTCCAACAACGTCTTCCGGAGATCTCGAGGTTTGGATGAAGTTACATATATGGTTTCTTATGGTTTTGACATTTAATTTTTATGGAGCTGTTAAGTTTAACGTTTTGTTTTGAAATTCGAGCACAGGGGGCTGGCTGGAATTTAAGACTCCACTAAGACTCGGGATGTTGTGGTGGAAAGGGCTTGATTTAGCTTACTTAATCGTGTTCCAATGTCCCTGTATGGAATGTATGCATTTGTTGAAAACGTTTTGGCTTGTGGCGTTGGGCCATACAGCTCACAGAGTTGCTTGCAGCTGCTGGGCTCTGAATGGAAAAGCACAGTTGAAGGCTGTTAACTGTTAACGAAGCATGGCCAAAAGCAGAACAGCCTATACTACTGGCAGGCCTTGGGCTTGAGGGCTAGTTCATTCGATGGGTCGGATAGGTGTTCTTACGGCAGGTTTGGGGTTCGAGAGGGGAAAGGTAAACCTTGGTCGCTGCCACAAGCTGATCCCGGAACCCAAAGCTCTGCTCTCAGAGCTTCACGGGAGTAGTACGATTCTTTGATACCTACATTTCACATTCCGAACCTGCGCAAAGCCTCATATTTGTTTCCAGGCCCCAAGCGCGGTCGCTGTGGGGCAACAGCTGGCCTTGGCTGTGCAGCCCCGTGGCTGTCGTTTAGACACGTGAAGAAAGTCGGGGTCTGGCTATTGAAGGCGCAGGGTGACGAGCGTCATGGTCGTGTGGGTCCTCACAGGCTAGTCAGTACGTCCGCGACAGGTGCAGGAGAAGATTCAACCATGATCTTTGACTGAAAGAGGAAATGGAAAAAGGCTCGTTTTGAATCCGGCTCTCTTCCGCCTGCCGCTTTGGCAGGTGGGGCTGTTCCAACTACTATGGCCACCTGGGGCAAAGGCTTATGGAAAGCGGCGATCCGAATGGGGCCATCAAGCTGATCTTCAAGGAGTCAATGTTGTAAAATAGGAGCCTTAACCCGTAGGCCGCATTGTAAATGTATTCTGTCGTTGCATGTTACCACAGTATGATGTGACTCGTACGAAATGCACACGCAAGAACGTTGTCAAGCCGAGTAACCCTGATGGCTATAGCTGAGTGTCATACCCAGTGTATGAGCCCTCATGCCTGCAGTAGCTTCATCAATTTATTTGTCTCTCCGAACGGCTGAAGACGGTCACACCGTAAACCCTGGTGAAACCCTAAGCGCTGTTGTCTCCTCGCCCCAAAAAGCCTTCTCTTACAGGAGCTGGTGGCTTTCAACTCGGGTATGACGCCCGTGACGGTGGTGCTCCCGGGCAAAGAAGGGTGTCAAGGGGAAGGCCCAAGGCTTAAAGGGTTTCGGTTCCTGGCAAGCCTGAGGGTAAGCCGATGGAGTTAAGTTGGAATTCGTGGAGATGGGGAATTGCAGGTTTGCCCTGGCATGAAGGTGCGCAGCGTGCGCGAGAATGCCGGCATGCTGGTGGCATGGCTTCTTCAGAACTACCTCAAGCAGATGGATCAGCCACCTGGTCATGCTTCAATAGTTCAACTACAGCCAGTGCGGAGTTGTGTTTTCAGTTCTGTCTGTTCAGAACGTATTCGTACCATTGCTTCGGTTGTCCTGTCTCATTCCAATCATGACGCTTGCGCACAGACACACACCAAACTCCAACTCTATTATGCTCGGCTTCATGCAACCCTACTGACCCTCATCAAGACCAGGTCTTCACAATGTCCTCGGTGTTGGCTGCCGTGTCAACGACGTGCCAGCAGACCACTAACGTCCCATAAAGTCGGACCTTCCAAATGCGCTTTCCGCAGTCATAGATCTCAGGTTCGTTGTGAACAAGGAGACCTTAGGCATCGATATCCACTGGAGCCACGTGGCGCAGGAATCCTGGAGGTCTCTCGAAGGACTTCATTTGCTTGCATGCAGGGTTTCAGGGCTGTAAGGTTCATCCAGTTGGGGCTGTGGGTCTAGGGCCCAGGGTGGACAAGCCAGTTCACCGGAACAACATGCATCTAAATCCAAGGTCTGAAAGCCTCCGCATACCACAATCCTGCGCTTCAAAACAGCCACTCGAAACTCTACATGTAACCAGCCCTTTAAGGCTATTTGTGTTGAAGGTAGAAAACTCCGATGTCGATCATCACCACAGGTCAAGTCCAGGAGTTGATGTTAAGACATTAGGTTCTGTTGTTGACTCCCAATCTTGGGCAATACGTAACAAAGCAGCATTACACATACGCAGATGAGTCTCATTCGTTTCGCCTCTTTCGCAGGTGATTTTGGCTGATCGTGGTCGTCCATTATTGTTGTTGTTATGGTTCTGTTTGTGATTCATGGCGATGTAGTTTATCAAGGTTATCATGATTGTGGTCATGCTTATTGCGCCTACTTTAATTATGGGCAATATTCGGATGACCTTTCCGACTAGAGAACTAGCAGGAGGAGAAGTAGCGGCATTTGCTGCATTGGAAGTAGAAGCAGCCAAACAACACCCTGTCATAGGACTGCTCGTCTGGTCCGTTGAGCAAGAGGCTCCATGCTCTGTGCTGGAGATCATCTGGTCCTACATGGAGGATGCTTATAAAGATGTGTGTTCAGGTCCTTTGGGGCCTGCAGCTTAAGCCTTGTCTGTTGATGGCAATTAATGCTTGTGGTTGCTATTGTGTTGCGTTCCGGCTGACCTGCGCCTGGAAGCCCTAGGCTGATGGGTTACAAAGTCTTGATACTAGTAGCTCGATCGTCAACAATGTCTCGCTATCGCCACCACGACGATGGTCATGCCACCACCATTGCAGTCAGTCTTACCCGGCTTTAGCTTCTTAACAGTGGGCCCGGACAGATGCTGAAGCCGGCACCGCAAAGTTGGACCCCAAACGAATTTTAGTAGGTTTATCGGACTTGGGCTGGAGGTAGCCTGCAGATCTCAGAGCCGCTAAGTTGACTTCTAAGTTTAATTGATGGTTTGGTGGCTTTGGTGGCTTTGTTTTTTTTGCTGTTGCTGTTGCTGTTGCTGTTGCTGTTGCTGTTGCTGTTGCTGCTGCTGTTGCTGCAGCTGTTGCTGCAGCTGTTGCTGCAGCTGTTGCTGTTGCTGTTGCTGTTGCTGTTGCTGTTGCTGGTGCTGTTGTTGTTGTTGTTGTTGTCGTTGTTGTTGTTGCTGCTGCTGCTGCTGCTGCTGCTGCTGCTGGTGTTGGTGTTGGTGTTGGTGTTGG